AGCTGGGGTGGGGGCGGGTGGGCGGACGACCGAGACATCCGCCCGAATCTCCCAGTGTCACACATCTGGGAGCTGAGGGTCCTGAACGTGGAGTGTGACTGGTGTGAGTCACCAGCTACGTGGCCTTGAACTAGCCATTTCACCTGTGGCAGCCCTGTAGCGACACGTGTACACGTCCTCCGTTTCCTCACCTGCGATGGGAATAGTGCCACTGGGGGCCCGGGCATGCGGGGGAAGTGCAGCACGGGGTTGTCGAGCACGGTGTCCGGCGGTGAAGGGTAGATCTGTCTATAGATGTTATCAGTGGTGATGCTACTGGCGTGGAATGGTGAAGAGCTGGCTTTTCTAGGAGGGAGTTCCTTATGCTGTGGGGCTGCCCAGCTGCCTTGCACCCCCAGCAGATGGGAGGGGGCCCCCTGGGCTGCCACCTCTGTCTCAGGCGGCAGGGCTGGGAGGTGGGTGTGGGTAGCAGGACAGCCAGCCCCTTTCCTTGACGTTTGCTCCCTCCCTGTGGGAAAGAGGACAGCGGAGGAAGGTCCTGTCCCAGTCACCCTGCAGTGAATGGTGACCCTCCCCACCCCTTCTTTTTTTTTTTTGGCCTCGTGGCTTGCAGGATCTTAGTTCCCTGACCACGGATCGAACCCGGCCCCCGGCAGTGAAAGTGCAGAGTCCTAACCTCTGGACCACCAGGGAATTCCCTCCCCACCCCTTCTTGCCACTTGATGTCACCCTGGCCCGCGTCCATGGGATTGGCTAAATGGCAACTACCAAAACTGGGCCGTTTTCCTTGGGCAGAGTTGCCGGCTTCCCGGGCCTTGAGGAAGCTTTGGCACAGGCTCTGGAGTCCTTGCACGTGGGCTGCTATCCCCTTGCAGGGAGGCAGCTCCTCGGAAAGCCCATCGTGGGGCGGTGGGGCGGTGAGCAGAACAGACTCTCAGTTCCTCAGCCCTGTGGTGGCCTTTCTGGAGCTGACTGTGCTGCTTTTCTCTTTTGGCCCTCTGACCTGTCCCCGCTGCGTTGGCTAGGAAGGGATGTACGGCAGGGCTGGCTCTGACAGGGGCTCAATTTCAGTTCGTGCGGGACGTGCCAGGGGTGGAAACCCCAGAGAAAAACCCTCTGTAAAAGCAAGGTGAAGCATGACCTCCTGTCCTGGAATCAGGACCCTGTGACTTCCTTCAGTCACCCTCCTGGTAGCCCACACCCCCAGCAGCTGCGGCAGGGGGGTGGTAGTGAGAGGGTTTGGAAGAGTTTGTCCTCCACCCAGCCTTGAGGACATTCAGTGTCAAGCTGGGGGGGAAGACCCAGAAAGTTACACCAAAAGGCATTCACGTTTCAGTGGTGCCTGCTAGTTGCTGCTGGCTGCTGTCATTTATTGAGCACTTACTGTGTGCCAGGCCCTCCTTAAACCAGTGTTGACAGACTTAGATGCTTGACTTTGGGGGCAGCTGGGGAAAGGATAATAATATAAAGCAGGGCCTGTGGGCAAGCTATGGCCCGTGGACCAGATCGGGCCTGTGGCCAATTTTTTTTTTTTTTTTGCTGTACGCGGGCCTCTCACTGCTGTGGCCTCTCCTGTTGCGGAAA